AGACTGGGCATCCTACCTTTGAGTCAGAAAATAAATTGACTGGGAATATAATCACCAAATCTGAAGTGGTACTTGATGGGAATTACATTTTTAATTACAGAAGTAAAAGCAACTGACATTAGGAAATACCAAGAGTTCTGTAACAATTATAAGTTCTGTATCAAATTAAAGCAATCAACAGTTATAGAACTGGAATAAAGTTATAGATCTTCAAAAAACTAAGAATAGAATATATGGCAGAAAAATAAATGGGAGACTTCAAAACATTCCTTAAGTATTCCTTTTTGGTAAGAACTGATGCCTCTGGCACCTGAATGCTACAGCAATACAAACTCTGGGAGGATAAGATGATAGAATGGCTAAAAAAATGGGTATCACATACAACCATCTGGGGCTCAGTTTAGGAAGAAAACAATTCCAGGGATAAAAAAAACCTCAGAGAGTATGATTCCACTATCAACAAAAACTTTAAGTTACTACTAAGACCTGTTGCCCAGTAGATTCCTTCAGTAAATTGTCCATTTTGGCTAGTATTTCAACAAAATAAGTTATATTTTAATATTAGGATGCTTTACTTCAGATATAAAAAATTCAAAGTTAAAGATTCAAACCATTTAGACCAATGGAGGTACAGAGTAAAACAATAACTTTTTTTACATTGTAAAAAAGGTTAAAAAGGTAATATTTTATACAAAGGATCATAGAATGGCTTGGGTTGAGAGAAATATTAAAGCTTGCCTCGTTCCAACCCCCTGCCAGCGGCAGGGAGACCTTCTGCTAGACCAGGTTTCTGCAAGCCCCATCCAACTTGGCCTTGAACATTTCTCCAGGGATGGGGCATCCACAGCTTCCCTGGGAAACCAGTTCAGAGGCCTCAGCACCCTCACAGGGAATTATTTCTTCCTATTATTTAATCTAAACCCACCCACTCTCACTTTAAAGCCATCACCCCCACACAGCCTTAAAAAGTCCCTCACCAGCTCTTTTGGAGCTCCTTTAGTAGTGGAAGGATGATGAAATGTATCCAATGTATTTCAGTCCCTTTAGTTTTGTAATCTATGAAACCAGAAATTATATCTCATATGTATGATATAGATTGTATTTGAGTAATGAAACCTCCTAATTTTACAATTTTTAGAAAACTTGCAAATTTAAAAATATTCTGGTCTATCATGAACAGTTTGAGGCCAAACAGAATTCTCAAGTATTCATCGTTCACTGCTTCAAAACACAGCTCCAAACAGGAACACTTTTTCTGTAGAATTAATCTCTTCCTTTATCAACATACCTTGTATCCCAAGACACAGCTCCAAATAATGGGGGAAATCTACATGGAGTACAATGTGGCAAAAAATCAGCTGCTGTGATAAATACAAGTGCAATGTGTGTGAACAAAACATCCAGTATTGAGAAAGTGCTTGCTCAAAATCTGTTGAGATTGTCTGAAAATGAAGATAACCATCAGCCACATAAAATAGTAATCAGGCAGTTACCAAGAGACCTCAGGTAGGAAAGAAAAATCAGCCTAAAAATCAAATCTAAAAAGCCCTAAGATTTCTAACAGGGAGGGAAAAAAAGCAGTGAAAACCTGGTCTGACACCAAGAAGGTGCCCCTGGCACAGCAAGCTCCTTGGGGGCCTGAGGGAGCACCCTCCCCTGGCAGTGGGCTAAGAACACAGGGCACCACAAGCACAGGTCACTCCTGGGGTTGTCATCTTTGGGGTCCTGCCCCAACAACTGGGTGGATTAGTGGGTGATAGGAACAGCCCAGGTGAGAACACAGCCACAGCATCCACATCTCCTCAGATGATGGAAGCACACAGGATAACACATTCTCAGAAGGGTGGGCTCATACCACTGAAACCTCCTGGCAAAGGGACAGGAGTGAGCATTTACCTGCAAATTTGAGGGTGTATGTGTGGGTGCTGTGGGATTGCTATAGGAGTGTGTTTAGGTTTTGTGAAGGTGTTTACTAAGGTTTTGTAAGGGTCTAGTAGTCATTTATCTGCTATATTGCTGCTATTAATCCTGCATGTAGAGGTTATGGACTAACAGTTAATTACAATAAATCAACAAATCAATTCTAACTTGATTTAAGTAAGGCATGAGCTGTATTTTCCTTACAAGCAGTAAATGCACTCCTTCAGTGTCTTTTGCTTTACTCTGATATGTAGCCTCCAGCTAAACTTACCTTACTCAGGTTTTTATTTTTCTTTTTTATTCTCTTCTTCCTTTTCTTTCACCTGAAGGCACCAAAGATATTCAGGAAATCAAACCACTATCTACATAGGTCACACTTCCTTCAGTACTCAGACTGATTCCAAAGCACTACAATAACTGCACTCCTCCAAAGCAATGGCTTCAAAACCTGGGCAAAAACGGATCACGTCTTTGAAAAGAGCATATTAAGTCTGGGTTAGACAAATGAAAACTTAAGAGGTATAACATACATGCTAGCCTTTCAAAATGTGCCTTCTTAAACAAGATGCTCTAAGGAATTTAATCCCTGAGATCAGGTTCTTGCTTCAGGAAATTCCAATTAAGCACCATAAGAAAGCTTGGTGTGTTCCTCCCCCTGCAACTGAAAGCTCAGCATTAGCTCCTAGTTTTTCCAGAAAACATTAAAAGAGTGTCACTCATATTTTTCTTTTTTAAACAGTGTAAAGAAATACAGTTAAATTTAATTTTGTTTGGTTCACTTTTTTACTTCTGCTGATGACATTTTCATAAATTAGAAGTAATGAAGAATCCTCTCTCATGTTTTAACTCCACAAATTCTTAGTCTTGAAAGTACAGGATCTCATCCCTTTATCTTTAAGAGACTTGAATAAAACTATACATTGACAGATCTTGTAACTAAAGACCCAGACCAAACATACTCACTGATTTGTGACTCAAACTCTAAAATAAAAATACTTACATTAAGTGCAACCACGCTTCTTCTAAACTTTATTTATGGGCTCCTAGCTTTTGATTAATCAAAATAATTATCTCCTTGAATTCCTTTCTCATTCTGTGTTCAGGAGAAAAATATTCTGTATTATGCATAAAGCTTCTAAAATTATCTAAGCTTACAAGAGACATTACATCACCTTCACAACTACCTTTTAGAAGTTACTCACTCTGCAAAAGCTGACTCTCAGGATACACAAAGTACTAGGGTAGCAACTGGCAACCACGTTCTTCTCCATAACTATTTTAGAAAGCCATAAAGACTTAAATCTGAAAAATAATTAAAATGAAACAGAGCCTTGTGACAAAAGCATCTGTTCATAGTAAACTGTTTTCAAAGTTAATTATTCAAGCAGCTAGTAGAAATCAGGAGTAACCTAGAATTCCAAGAAGTACTACAAAAACCCCACATAATTTCAGTTAAAAACCCCACAGAAAAGGCAGTTATTCAAACACGGCCAGGGAAATGAACACCTTGCTTGCCTGTTACATGTTCCCCAATTCCAACTCACACTGCTCCAATGCCATATTTACTACTCCTTACTTCTATTACTCCCCAGCCCATTTCCAAATTCATGGAATATCTACACCTTATTTTCCCCCACCAAGGGCTAGGAGGAAAGCTACATATCCTTTCTCCCTGTTCAGAAGATATGTTTCTCCATTACCAAAACACTTCACTATTTATGTATGCCATCTATGAAACATGAAATCAAAGAACTGGAAATCCTTCCTTGCCTCCATAACTTGAGTACTTCAAAGGAGCACAGTAGGAGCACTTCTCCAATTAACATTTACCCAGCACATTCCACCTCCTCATTGCCTTAACATGTCTGAGTCACAACCACCAGCTCAAGTGTCTGGAAATTAACCTACTAAAGCAATGGTTTATAAAGTTACATGAATTTGACACATAACTCCACAGATACCTACATCTGGGAAACCAGAGATTCCTCCAGAAACAAGGGAATGTTATTTAAGATAAGACCTGTAGAGAAATGCAGTATCTTGTACTGAGTCCACTGATGTAGTATTAAAGAAAAGTAGGCTTTCACAGAAACAAGCTCTTGTTTTATATTTAGTCTTTAGAGGGCTTTAAAGGTTATCAGACCATTTAGAGTCTCTCCTACTTTTTCCAGAAACACTGTTCTTTTCTAGGAAAAGAAAATATGAACTCATTTCCCTTGAAAAATTATGGGTTAGGTTTGTAAGCAATAACAGGACAGAATACTGTTGGCATCCTACTCATGATTTGTACCATCTCTGTCCATTTCTTATTCAAAGTCAAAGCCTGGCTGATAAAAACTCCCCAGATCAGGACCTTAGAGATGGGAAGGCTTCTGCCTACCTGGCCTGTTGGGTATGAACAAGCTCTGTCAAACTCCACCTGGTGGATAATCTTTAAAAAACCTAGGAAATAAACTTATAAAGGCTTTAGTTCCACCAGGATTGCTACACCACTCAGATACTATGATAAAACTTATTGAACTGTATATTTGGTTGTATCGCCTTCATCCCTTCTGTTTCTCCCCATCTCTATTAAAGCTACAATCAAGTAAAATCTCTGGGCAGATATCTTTTCTAAACCTCTCATATTAATGGATCGTAGCTGCAATTAGTATCAATTTCTGATAATGCATTTATAGACAGGAAAAGTCATAGCTCCACGGCACAGCTAAAGAGAAAATTGCTCTTCTTGCTCTTTAGCCTTTGACATAGGAAAGTGGAAAGTAATCTGTAAATGTAATTTTCAACTAACATTTAGCTAAACTATCAATTATTCAAATCTGAAACAATACGTACAGCAACTTTTTACCCATGCTTCCCAACTCATAAAAACCATAATAATTTACATCTTTGTATTTTCTGGTAGTTTCTCTTATAGGATTTCTCATAAATATACCTGCTACCATTCTTTACTGTTATAATACACTATTATTTATTATGATCTACTATCCTTGAGAAATAATTAAAAAATACATTCAAGACACGTAAACCATACCTGGAGCAGCCTGTGATACTGAAATGCTGGAAGAGGCATTATTTTTGAATATAGTAAATTTAATAAACAGTTGAGAGCTGAATTGCTCTCTCAAAGAATTGGGAGAGCAAACTGCTCAAATGTTTATCTAGAAACAAAATATTAACAGCATTTTACACAGATGATGCCGTGGCAGTACAAAAACCTCTACTGTGCATACTTTATTATCATTTCAGGATGTCATCACTAAATAAGCACAAGTGAAGACTGTCTGCAGTTAAAACTTTTATAGAAGTTTCAAGACAATTATTATTTCTGATGAACAGCTATTTTTTTCCTCTTTTAAGAAGTCCTTCTATTTTTGCCAGATCTCCAAATGAAACTGTCGCAGAACCTCGCTGGGCTGGTTTTGCCTGAGGAAAGAAAAAAAGAAGAAAAAATACATATAGGGCTAATTTTAAATTAAAATGTTTGTAAAAAGCTTTTAAAACATCACTTATTTAAATAGTACCTTCAAAGAGAAAATAACAGCTTCACATTACCTGTGACTCATGGTATTTCCAGCCAATCATGTAGTAGATCTGAAACGTGGCAGGTACCGAGCCGTCGCTGTTTCCGTACATTTCTGTTAGGGCAGGAAGGGAGAGAGAAAAGGTACAGACCGTCAGCTCTAGGAAACACTCAGTTCTCAGAACATCAGATCTGAGTGTGACATATTCATCATAATGACTCCTGGTGAAAGATTTGGGACAATAAAAATACCTCACACTGGTGCATCAATATATGTTCAAACCCTGGCACTATTATTAAGGTTAAAAATAGCATATGAAAATGGCATTTTGTTCTGAAGCACTTGGGAGTTTTGGTTTTACTTTGGGTTTGTTTTGGTTTTTGGGTTTTTTACACAAAGGTCATAGAAAAAGACACAGAAAAAGTGTTTTTAATGTCATTTTAGATGAACTCATTGCCTCTCAAATACTGACCTTGGTATATTGCAGCAGCTGCCAGCATTGTCTCCCTGTGTAGCAGAGGTTTTCTATTCCAAGAGCAATTACTCTCCCCCATACCTAAAAATATGTTTTAGCTTTAAGAAAAAGAAGATATAGCACATGCCATGAGTTAAGTGTCATGCACTAAGGACAGATTCTTACTAAACCAGAGTAAGTACAGAATCCTCTGTACTTCACTGTAAGAGAGAACACACTGCAGATCATTAGGTAAGTTTCTTATGTGTAAGAATCCAAAAGTTTTAATTCCTATGCTTTGAAATTTACAGTTTGCATTGCTAGGAATAATTTCAAATTGTTACTTCTTCATCCTGAGTCTTCAAACATTTAGCCTCTTAAGTATAATTAATTTTAAGGATGAGTACAAAGAGTTTACTCAGACACATTACTATTGTTTTAACAGATAATCATTAAAATTACTAGTCCAAGAGATTTAAAATACAAAACAAAATAACGACAATTCTAATCTTTTTCATCACTTACTGCATCTGAACGTTTCTGCTCAGAATAAAAGTTGCCTTTCCATTAAGGAATTACTCCAAACAGCAGTTGATCCAGATAAGAAATGCCCTGAGTTGCTGTCAGTAACAACAGACTGCATGTGAAAGACTGCTTTACAATTCACAACAAATGCGATCAGAATATTAACAAAATCGTTACTCAGTTGTCTGCTGTTCCTCAGCAGACTCCAAATTAAGGATATATTAATTCTCATTCCAAAGCAGTTTGCTGATTGCCCTGGTAATTAGAAAGGCTCACAGGAAAAGTCAGTGTGTGGGATATGGCTTCTGTCTCCCTTTAAGGGCTTTTCTGCACCTTACACTGAACAGGCTCACGCAGAATGGGAAGCCCAGGAAAGCAGAACACTCACAGCAGACCATGAACTAGCAAATCTTTGACTTGGGATTCCCAACACTAATCCCCTGATAGACATCACCTCCTGCCTCTCTAGACAGCAGGAAAAAAACTAATGCTTCCCCTGTTCCAATAAGATTTACTTGTATTTTTTTAAGAAATAATTTTTTTTGTGATGAAGATGGTGAAACACTGTTTAAGGTTGCTCAGAGAGGTGGTGGATGACCCACATCTGGAAACATCCAAGACCAGGCTGGACAGAGCTCTGAGTAACCTGATCTAGTTCAAGATGTCCCAGCTCACGGCAGGAAGTTGGACTAGGTGGCCTTTAAAGGTTCTTTTCAACCACATGATTCTATGATTTGGAGTTAAGAAACACACAGTAAAACTCTTCTATGTCTGTCCCACTGATATAGAAAACATGTTTTTACACAGGATATACTTGCCTTGTAAGTCTTCCATAACCTCAAATAACCCTGGGTAGTTCACTTGGATTTCATCAGTATCCTAGAAGAATTGAGAAGTTCAGTTTTAGAGCATATCAAGCTAAACCAACAGCATTATTTCAATCTTGCTGTACTACCGAAGTATTACCCAGCCATGGCAAGAGGGTTGGAACTAGATGACTTTTAAGGTCTCTTCCAACCCAAAACATTCTACAGTTCTATTCATCTGCCTCTTCTGCCCAAATCATGTATTTCTAAGAGGTATGTACTATTTCAACATGTCTAAAAAGTTTTGCTTAGTAGCCCAAATGCAATCAAATTTTAATTTAAATGCCGTTTTCTTCTTGGTTTTAGAAGAAAGAGCAAGTATCTGTAATTTTTTCATGCAGGTCTAACAGTCTTTGACATTTCTCCAAGAAAACCATCCAAATTCTACTGGGCCACGAGCCAAAGATACACTTCAGTTGGTTCCATTAATCACCACAAAGCCAAAAACAGTGGCAGTCCAGGCTATTTCTGCAGCCTGTTCAGCGAGGTGCACCACACGCAGAAGGAAGCAGCATGTTGTTACTACATTAGCAAACAGCGATTTTTATATTCCAGCAGCTCTGACATTCTGGATTGCTCTGCCTGATGGTTCTCTTACTTATAATTACCACGGTGAGGGTGTTAAAGCCGGCCCTGGAGAGCAGATGTCCCAGATCGGCGACGGCGGTGAAGGGCGACACGTGAGGAGAGAAGCCCCCTTCCCTCTCCAGCTCGGCCAGCTGCAGAGAGCAGCGCAGCTCGTACAGAGTGTCCCCCCCAAACATGGCCCCGATGAACACTCCGTCGGGCTTCAGCACCTGGTGGATCTACAGAGCACAAACACACAGGCCACGGCTTTGTGAAGCTTATGTAACCAAGCGGCTCTTAGGCTTTCTATCTCAATGTAATCAAAAGCAATTGTTGTAAGAGCTCCAAGAGACTTTTAATATTGACTGTATTCTGCAGGGCAAGCTGTGACACAGCTTCTGGTCACACTGCAAACAAATAGCCTGGCTGAAGAGAGACTGTTTTCTATTTTTAACAGTAAATCCTCAGAAATTACAGTCAGGAAACATGGAACAAATCGTGGGAGCGCAAAACTATTTTCAGCAGAATACTCATAAATCAATATTCTCAATTAAATTACTTCTAAAAGGAGGGTAGATGAAGGTAAGTATGCTATTTACTTTTCCTTTCTGAGAACAGCAAAAGCACTTTTTAAGGGCTTGATTTAAGAGAAATGGAGGCTTTAGTTTTCAGTAGTGATCTCTGCACTTCTGAGACAATAGAGTAATGCCATTTTTATTATGTGTATGATTACTTATTAACTTGCCCAAACAGCAATATCATAATACAAACACCAAGGCTGACAAGGTCTGCTTTGTTTCTGCTGGTCTCCTAAGTTCTAGCCCCCTTCCTAGTGAGAAGGCAAATAAATTCATGCTTTCTTGTTTATTTAAGAGTTGGAAATGATCTCTGGTTTAAACATCCAGAAGAGCCTGATTGTATAACCAGGCTAACAAGACAGCAAGCATTTCCAATGGTTTTGAAAAAAAAAAAAAATCCATAGTTTTTTAATGAAGTATTTATTAAGCAAGCTACCTTTCCTGTGCTAGTAAAAAAGCCTGTAATTGACAGGTAAGAAAATTAGGCAGTTAAAGGCAGTTTCCATTAGTTTAAGACAGTGGTACCAACACAGCAAATTATGAACGTTGGCCAAGAAGCTCAGTTCCCTCCCCATTGTGAGACAATGTCACTTAAATCTACTGTGGGAAAATGTATTTGGCACTCTATAGAATACTTCAGAATACTGTATTTGATACTTCTATAGAATACAGAATTCCAGTGAAAAATGTATATTTCATTCAAAGTTTTTTTTGTAAGTACTGAATGCATTTAAATTGCTCTTTATTCATTAACAGTAGGGTAGTCCTATTCCAACCACCAGGTGATAGAACAGCACTGCAATGACTGATCAATTTGAAATAAATGAAAAACCAGCAAACTGGTTAACATTCCTTGTTCTTGTGCCACATTTTTGATTTGACTAAAGTTTACACCTGCAGGAAAGAGCAGCAAAACTTACTGAAAAGAAAATAAAAATCTGTCCTCAACAAGTATTTAGTTCATTTCAAAATCAAAAAACCTTGATTAAAGCTGCACTTCAAAATAAACCGCTGAGACACAAAAATAACTCAAGGTCCATAAAGCAGGTCTGGAGAAGTGCAGTGTTGTACTACAAATAGTAAGAGCTAACAATAAAAAACAATAGCACTGCCTCAGGTGACATTAGTTACCATGATCTCAGATGTGGAGAACCCAAAATATTGTATAAACACGTTGTTTCAGTTATTTATTCCAAATTGATTTGAGGGAGCAAATTAATAACAATATCAACTAATGCTCCTCAAAGTTCCAAAAGTATTGCAAAAAATACTTGTGTGCAACCTGAGTTGTTTGCCTCTTAAACACCTGGAAATACAGAGTGCTCTCAACCCAAGTAATGGCAAGTGCTGACTTAGAGTATTAAAAAACATTTCTTACCTCTCTGAAAGCCTTAGGAAGATCATTCACCCAATGTAAACTGAAATAACAGAAGAGTACATTTTTTAATTTCAGATTAAATCAAATTTATGGAATGAAAGTTACTATTTAAGAAGTTAAGTAAGTTTCAGGAGCCAAAGTCACAAACTTGGTTTCTCAAAGTGCAACCATGCTGAAACATCCACTTGAAACTGACACTAAACAAGAACCAAAGTTTATCCACGTAGCACTTTTTTCCTTCTTTTTTTGGCTGAGAAAATGCAAGTCCTGGAGACTAGTTTGTCAAAATGCAGGAAAGAGAGAAGCTCCAAGTGTTTTGTAGGAAAATAAACAAAGAAAACAGAAAGAATCACCAGGACAGCAGTTTTTCCTAATGCATGCTCATATTAATTATGCAAATACGTTTCTTATTGCTTTACAATGGACTAGTAATCTTTCCTAAATTTATTTTCTTAAAGCTACTCTGGAAAGGATATTATTAACAACTTAAACAAAACTAAATAAATAAATTATTAATACATACCTTAAGCTGCTGACAACAAGATCAAACGTATCTTCTTTGAAAGGAAGGAATTCTTCATCAGCTACAACCCTGACCGTTGGGATTTCAGATTCTACAGCATTTTTCTAATGTTTTGGAAGAAAAACAACTCATCAGAAACTCACTTCCTTCACTTTCCTGTACTACAGAACTGAAGCAGTTTAGCATTAAAAAAGCTACTTACTAAAGCATTCTCTGCGATATCAACTTGAATAAGTTTTTCAACTGTTTCCTGAAACAAAATTTTATAAGTCTATTAAATATGTAAATTATTTTGTAAATGGTCATAACTAATTTTTTGGCACTTACCCCTATTTATAATAAGTAAGAAAGAATCTTTTCCACTCTTGGTAAAAGCTTTATATAAAGCAGAAAGCACTTTTCCCCACCCAACATGACACCTGTTCCCAGGGAGAACAGCTAAGGCAGAAGTGGTAACAGAAAACACATTCTGTAATTTTAGGCATAGGTTTAGTTAAACATAAACCATGCATTAACAGCCAAGGAAACACCTTTACTCACAGCCTTGTTCATGAAGGGTAAACTGTTAATGGCTTCAAAGTCTCCATAATGACACTTCTCTTTAACAACCAACTGTGGTCAATAGATTCATCAAGAAAGCATGCATATTCCTACCCAAAACTAAACTGTATTAGAACAGATAACTTCCCCTGCACTACTATTTGTCAGTTTTCAGTGGCAATAAACTAAGAATAGCCTGCACAATACACAGCTTTGAACTATAACTACAGGTATAGGGGTGGGGGAGTTAGATTTACCTCTTCAAGATTCAGATGATTGTTTTAAGTTGTAATACAGCTCTGTTTGAAAGGGAGAGACAGATATGAACTTCCCTTAAATACTTTTAAGTATGAAGAGACAGTACCTTGGTTAAGTGCTGAGCTATGTAACCTCTTCCAGAGCCAACATCCAAAGCGAGAGGAAACGTTCTAAAGGATAAGATTAGCATACAGAACATAAGCAAGCCTTAAAATATTTTTAATTCATAGACTATATTAAGTTTCACCTGTTAATCTAAGGGCCTTACTGAACTCAGTAACTCAGCCCAGCGAGCATCCTTCTGTGGAGAAAGGCGCTCCACATCCAGCGGTTCTCCCCGGGGATGCGGGGAGGGTGCGGGACACGCGGGACTCACCTGGTGATGTCGAACACCCGGTCCGCGATCCTGCCGCCGACCTGCGGGGAGAGCCGGCGGTCAGAATCACAGCATCAATGAGGCCGGAAAAGACCTCTGAGATCACCAAGTACAACCTATTACTAAAAAGCACTCGTCAACTAAACCGTAGCATTCAGTGCCACGTCCAGCCTTTCCTTAAACACCTCCAGGGTGACTCCACCACATCCCTGGACAGCCCATTCCAATGTCTGATCACTGTTTTCTGTGAAGACATTCCTAATATCCAACCGTAAACTTCTTCTGGCAGAGCCTGAGGCGATGTCCCCTTATCCTGTCGGTGGCTGTCTAGGAAAAGAGACCGACCTCCACCCGGCTGCAACCTCCATCCAGGGAGCTGTAGAAAGCGATAAGGCGACCTTCAGGCTGAACACCCCAGCTCCCTCAGAGCTTTTGTGCTCCAGCACGTTCACCAGCCCGGCCACCCTTCTCTGGACCCGCTCCAGCTTCTCAATATCGTCCCTGAGCTGCGGAGGCCAGAACTGGCCACAGCACTCGCGATGACCCCTCCAGCGCCCCCGGCCCCTCACCTCCTCCCGCAGGTAATCGCACTTGGCGGGCTCGGCCTGCAGCGCCGCCCAGTTCTTCTGCTTCCGCTTCAGCCGGCGGTCGAAGGGGTTCAGCGCGCCCGAGCCCGGCGAGGCTGTGGCGTGAGGAGGAGGC